AATCTACTACAGATCTTTTTGCCAATTAAATGCTGGTTCCAAGAATTTCTGGTGGATAAAATGCTAAATGGCAGTTATGGAGTATAAATGTCGCAGAATTCTGGTGGTGTGAATTTTTAATTGTGTGTGAGTTCATCTGCAGATAGTTCTGCCCCTTCAAATGGATGCCATCACCCTGATAACTGAGATGCAATATTATTAGCTTCCTGTGACGTGCCCTCGAGTCAGTTCCGACTCATAGCAACCCTGTATAGGGTTTCTGAGGAACAGCTGGTGGATTTTAACCATCAACCTTATCCACTTTGCAGTCCAGTGCTTGCCAGTGAGTGCCGCACCGGGACTCATTAGTATAGCTAATGATAAAATTTTCCAGAATGGGGTTAAAACCAAAATTAACTCATAAAATATAAATTTGCCGATAACATTAAAACAGCAGTTACCTGAGTAAATACAGTTATCACTACACTAGAAAGAAATATCAGCAATATTAGCTATAAACTCTATATTGAATCCTTATTACCTGAGATATAAAGAGGCTGCTTAACAGCAAGGTGAAGGACTTGGCAAATAGGAACAAGAAGCCCATGGGATAAAATATGAACAGGAGATTGACTTCTCTAACAGGTTTGCTAGGAGGTTAGGAAGTAGTGTTAATTTGTTAAGAAACTCTCTACTGCTTTTTTGATTGGAAAGAGATTTTTCATCTTGCACACTCTAATGTTAATTAAGTTCTGGATTTAATTAGTAAAGGTTATATATTTCTATCAGAAGCAAACAGAGCTTAAGTACATGTTGCTTGCTTATCACGATAATGTTTCCTTTGACCCCGGAATACATTAGAGCTGCCTGTGAGGCTGTCAGTATGAGGTAAACATTACATACCCTAGAAAGTCAATTCTTACTCCATCAACTGATCTGATGGATGTTAGAGCATAGCTTATCATTCTAAAAGAACTTCAGCTAAAATTAGAAAGATGTCCACTTAAAGATGTTGTTTGGAAATATTGACATTTTTGGCTTGGTCTCATAAGTTCTGGGCTCTGACCATCTACTTTAAAGAGCCAGTTACTCCACTTATCATTTGCAGGTAAGCTGACTCTATTGAGACATTGGAGTCCTGGTGTAGCACTCTGGGTTAATGTGCTAACCTGCAAAATCAGTTTGAACCACAGGTTCCTTTTCCTTTAACTTTTCCCTCCATTTAAGACAGTCTATTTTATCCTGTAATTTACCTGACCTTCTCACCACCTGGATCTCTGTTCCTCTGTGTCTACCTTCTTTCACATAGTAATTGTTTTGATCACAGACTGACCTCCCAGATCCTCTGAATTTGTTCTTACCGTTTTATTCTGTTCTCGACTCTTCCATTTGTCGATTGACTTCCGAGTGATGCTGCCATGTATATTCATCTCTGGTTGTTGTCTGTTCTTGTTGGTTCTCTGTCCACAGAACTCCTTTTAGGATGTTTTTCATCTCAGGGTTGGCTTTGGCAAAATCACTTAGCTCCTGTTTATCCTGGAATGTTTTGATTACACCATCATATTTGATTGACAGCTTTGCTGGGTAGAGGATTCTTGATCAGCAGTTTGTTTTTCTTCAGGGTTTTATATCAGTCTCCCCATTGTCTTCTTTTATTTTTTTTTTATTGTGTGATAGTTTACATGGGGGAACATTAGTTTTACACATTCATTCTATCATACATCATTTGATTGCCCTAGTTACCATCCTGTCTATGCATCATCACCCAACCAAAGGTTATACTCTGCAATCTCACCCTCTCCCGCCCCCCAGTCCTCAACACACAGCCCCTTTCCTTTTCTGGATCTGAAGTCCTCAGCCACTCCATCTCTTACAGCATCCTCTCTGTCTCCATCTTAGGTCTTACTGCTTCTCTGGGTGGGGTCCTGCTCTCCGCTCTTCTCCAGTGATGGTCCCAGAGCCCTCTGCTCCTAGACTGAAAGGTTAATCATTCTCCCCATTGCCTTCTTGCCTGCATGGTTTCTGTTGAAAGACCCAAGCTTAGTCTGATTTGTTTGCCTTTGTATGCTACACTTCTCTTTTTCCCTAGCTGCCTTCAGGATTCTGTCCTTAGCTTTGATTTTGGAGAGCTTGATTGTTAAATGTCTTGATGTTTTTCTTTTAGGGTCTATCCTTTGTGGGGTTCATTGAGCTTCTTGAATGCTTACCTTTTCACTTTTCAGGATGTTAGGGAAATTTTCTTCCAGCAGCTCTTCAGCTATCTCTTCTGTGGACTTGTGTGATTCTTCCTGTTCTGGAATGCCGATAATTCTTTAAAGTTATTCCTCTTCATGTTGTACAACATGAATCTTAGCCCTTCTTTAGATTTTTTTAATCCATTTTTCTGTTTGTTCTTCTATCTTATTGGTATTGAAAGATTTATCTTCTAGCTCACTAGTTCTGGCTTCCATCTCTTCAGTTCTACTCCTTTGCCCTTCAGTTGTATTGTCCATTTCTGATATTCTATTATTAATCATTTGGAGTTCTTTCTGTAAGTTTCGAATTGTTTCCAATGCTGTATCTATCTTATTTGATTGTTCCTGTAGCACTTTCCTGACTACGTCCTAATTTTTCTCAACTCCATTGTGAAGTGTTTTGAAACAATTTATAATCATTTTTCTAAATTCCTTCTCATGCATTTCCAAAGCCTGCCCTCCTTCCAGTATGGAGTGTAGGTCTACCTGCAGCTCATTTGTCCCAGTTACTTTGTCTTGTTTCTGGTCATGTGCTGATATAATCATCTGTTTCTGGTTTTTGGGCATATTCAGTGGTTAGCTGTGGCCTTAAAACTTAGATGGGTGTGTGGTTTGGTACTTTTTTTATGTTTTCTGATAGACTCCAGGTAGATGTGATCAGGAAGGAGATGGGCTTCCCTTTTCACTCTTATTCCTTTATCTCCATGGTTTTGTCAGGTGTCCGTGGCAGCTCTGATCCTTCCCCGTACAGTCTCGCCCAAGATGACCACTCAGGGAGCAGCTGGAGCATCTTGGATTAGAAAGCACTGCATTTCTTGCTTCTGCTGCAAATTCCACTGGCTATAAGCCTTCCAACTTTCTAAATATTCCTTTATAAGTGGTTCAGAGTTCTGGAACCATCACCTGGGCCTGCTTGGTCCGGTGTTCTGTGTTGTTGTTGACAGAGCTCCTCACTGCACTTCCACCCGTTCTGCCATGTTGTTTTTCCTCCTTGAACCACAAGATTGGCTGTTCAAGTTCACCAGCTGCTCCTTGGAAACCCTATGTTGTTATTGTTGTTCAGTGCCGTTGAGTCTGTTCCGACCCATAATGGCCCTGTATAGGGTTTCCAAAGAATGACTGGTGAGTTTGAACTGCTAACCTTGTGGGTGTAAACCTACCTTGCAGTTCAGCACATTAGCCCTCAGTACCCACACCGGGACTCCTTTTCAGATGAACTAGAACACTTGAATTATCATTGTCATTGTATTGTTTTCCTCTTCTCCAATTATGTGAGCAATTGATGCATAATAAAACAATCAATTAAACCAAAAAATCACCATCATAAGACTTGAATTCCAAATGGTCAGTGCATTACCCCATCATAAGGCAAATCATAATCAGAAATTATTTGGTGAGTCCATGTACTTCCAGATGTTTTCCAACAATCTGCTAATTAATTCATATGTTGATCTTGGTTTCAATGAGAAAATTTTCAGCTTTATTTCCAAGTTTTAAGGAAACATTTCATAGATGATATCTCAACTTGTCTTGAAAGTCAGTGTCCATCTAAAATGAAAAATTTAAAGAAACTGAGGTAATCACTTCAATGATGCTTACCATCTCTAAGTCTCCATTATCTTTTCCTGAAGTTCACTGTGAGTGAATATGTTTAACCTGTATTTTAAGTTTAATTGGCCTACCTGATCTTCAAAAGGAACAGGATAACAGATAAGATAAAAATTGTTGAGCCTTAGTTTGATATGTTGGTTATACTTGTAAAGGAGGGATAGGCACACTGAGATTCCAGTGTCTGAATGTCTAGAGGAACTGTCCTAGGGCCCCTACCCCAGACATGACAGTGTCATTATCAGAATGAGTAATAGGAACATTCATTCCTTAGTACTTTAGGAGCTTCATTAGTGAAATTGCTTTCATATGTAATTGATAAAAAAAATTCAACATTGCATAATGTTGAAACTCCTGGAAGCATGCTAAGTGTGTCTTTTTCTTTGCCATTTCCGAGAGAGGCATATTATATTTATGTTGCCATATGAGAGGACTTCAAAAAATTTGTAGAAAATTAAATGAAAAGTTAACAATTTTCCCACAAACTCTTTGAAGCTCCCTTGTCTATGAGAGAATATCTTTCCATCTTTTATTCTGAAGGTTGGTGAAAAGAAGCTTATGTATCTTTTGTTCTCTGTAAAAAGCAACAAAAAACCAAAAACAGAAGATAGTACAGAATTTAAAGCTAGTAGATTTGCAAATGTGTAGAGTCATAGAAAATTTCTTGCCCAAGTGTTACCTGAGACGTACTAAATCTGTTGTATCTGCCAAACTGTTGTTCATCCAAGCTTCTTAAGTATTCTCAGTGTAGAATTCACTACCTTTCAAGATAAAATATTGCATTTTTGGTTAAATTTCATTAATATTAAGTCCTTTGTTAGGATTCAGTGCCAACCCAAACATCAGCGGTTTGACCCCACCAATCTGCTCAGTGGGAGAAAGACATTGCAGTCTGCTTTTATAAAGATTTACTCACAGCCTTGGAAACTCTGTGGGAACAATTCTCCTTTGTCCTGTAGGGTCACTATAAGTCAAAATCCACTCGACAGTGTTGAGTTTGTGAGGTTTTTTGGGTGGGGGGAAGGCAGTTGTTAGATTGAATCGAAATGTGTCTTCTTTTACAAATCATAATATCTGTTCATAATTGTGAAGAACTGACCATGTTTTTCTAGCTTCAGTTTAACTTGGAATTCTTTTTCAGAAATTTTAATTTGCTAACATTTTGTTTTTTTCTCTTAGCTTGTAACTCTTCAAGAAGCAAAACTGTTGCTAAATGAGGATGATTATCTTATTAAAGCGGTATATGACTACTGGGTGAGGAAACGTAAAAACAGCAGGGGACCGTCTCTGATTCCTCAGATCAAACAAGAGAAAAGAGATGGCTCTACTAACAATGACCCCTATGTTGCCTTTCGGAGGAGAACAGAGAAAATGCAAACTCGAAAGGTAATATGCAAATTGAATTTAATTGAACGTTCCTTTAATAACATTTAAGACCAATAGTTTTTTCTGCTTATAACTTGAATGTTTTTTAATTATGTTAACATAATGGGGAACTAGACATCAATTAACTTTATGTTGGAAATCTTGCTGATCAGTAGCTTCTGATGGTAGTTGTTTACAGATTTTATTTAATACCCATATCCTTTTTAAATGGGATCACGGTGGCTTTTAAAACAGCAGTGGACTGTGGACCACAGATTGGCAGTTTGAGCCTACTATCTGTTCCTTGAGAGAATAATGAGTCTTTCTTTCCCACAAAGTTCTACCCCTCAGAAATATCCTATACAGGTCCCTGTGAGTCAGAACAAGATACATGGCAGTTAACCACAATACCAATCCATTATAAATACACTGATCATACAATTTTATACTTTAAACTGAAGTGATATGAGGAACTGCATGTCCTTAGGAACCGCTCTCCTTTGGGGGAAGCTGATAGTTTGAAATACTACTACTTTTCCTTGTTGTGTGCGTAAGCGCTCACAGCTCCTTTGAAACAAGAGTCTTAATTCTTGCATTAAAAAATGGATCCTGCTTCCCCCTAGCTATTTGGGACGGGAGTCAGTTTCATTTTTAAACCTGTTCTGTCAATAATCAGAAGCAACCCAGTGAAATCTTACTTTCATTTTCTGAGTTGTCAGTTATGCCAGATTTCAAATTCATGAAAACTGGCTTTCAGAAGCAATGTGAGGTAAAAATTTTCTGTAAGGGAAACTGGTCTTATATTGTAAAATGATGTGATATAGAAAAAAGCATTATTTCAGAGGGGTAGAAAAATCGTACCATCACTGCCTTCTACTTTTCATAATTAGAGTAAATAATAAACATGGTGGCATATTCTCTAACACTGCAGTGTCATGAAAATTCTAAGTGTAAAAACCATGAGGAGCTATACTTGGAGTTGAGACATTTTCCATGGATTCTTTTTCCTCCAAACATGGAACGGTTGTCCTTGTCAACTGTTAATAGAACAGCTTGGAAGATTAACAACTGCCAGAGCAATATATATTAGGAGAAACTTTGATAATGGTTAATAGCCGGGGTTTCTACAACCCTCTTTTGTGGGCATGATTTTCTTAAAACGTTATAGGATGGATTTTCCAAGATACCATTCCCTAATCGTGGTTGCATTTTCAATATGTTATTCTATCTAGTTCATAGCTAAGGAAATCTCGAATACTGTATGACAGCTTAGTGCCTTGCTTTAAAAAGACTAGCTTGAAATAAGGTTGTAAGACTTTACAAATGTGGACTACTGGACTTGAGGAAGGAAAAGTTTGTCTGAACCCCTGAAAAGTCTGAATTACCAAGTACTCTTTGGGAACAGTGGTGGAGGGATAATAGTAAGATGTTAGGGTTTAGGACTATGGTAGATCTAGAGTAGGCCTAGGTGTTAAGGTTAGTGTTAGGCATAAGGGTTGGGCTACAATTAGGAGTAAGGCTCAGTCTAGTTTTAAGGTTACAATTAGGCTTCCCCCCCCCCCCTTAAAATCTGCTTGATTTCCTCTTAGAAGTTCTATAACTACATTCTCCTTCTTTTTTACTTTGTTTTTATTTTTGTTGCAAACAAAAGTATTTCTGGTTCTCTATTTTTAGTCTTGTAGGTTTGTTTTACTTTGAATACTTCTATATCTAATTCTGGTGTGGCGCTACAGGTTAATGCACTGGATTGCAAGGTAGGGTTGAACTGCAAGGTTAGCGGTTCAAGCTCACCAGCTGCTCTTTGGAAACCCTGTGCAGGGTCGCTGTTAGTCAGAATTGACTCAATGGCACTTAACAACAACAACAATCTCTAGGTTGAGTTCTGAGTGATACTGTCATGTATGTTAGTCTCAGGTTGTTTTCCACTGTTGCTGGTTCTCTGTACAAGGAACTGCCTTTAGTATTTTTTTGTAGGGTTTCACAAATTATTTTAATATCTGTTTATCTGAAAATGACCCAATTTTGCCATCATATTTGATGGATGGTTTCCTGAATATATGATTCTTGATTGGTAATTTTCACCCCACCCCCCAGAGTTTTATATGTATCATCCCATTGTCTTATTTGCCTGCATGGATTCTGATGAGAAATCAGAGCTTAAAAACTCTAGTTATACTTTGTAGGTAACTTTTCCTGAGCTGCTGTCAGGATTCTTTCCTTGTCTTTGGTTTTGAAAGGTTTGATTATTAAATGTATCTGATTTTCTCTTGGAGTCTATCCTGTTTGGAGTTCATGAAGCTTTTTGAATGCATATCTTCTTGTCTTTGATAATGTTAGGAAACTGGTGAACTTGAACTGCTAACCTTGCAGTTCAAACCCACCAACTCAAAGTTTCTCTGGAGTTCCATCACAGATGACCATCTACTTGTTTTTCTTTTTTGCTGCTCCTGTTCAGTTTTCTGTTCCAGTCATCAATCATTTCACTTCTCTGTCCTGTCATCTGAAGCTCAGGGTTCCAGGATCACCATCTGTATTTGTTTTACTTCATCTCCCATGTTGTTGTTGGTCCAGTACTTGTTGATTTTGTAGTTCACAGTATAGCACAATGCCAGGAATTTTCAAGATAAAATAATAATTAAAGGAGCGGCAGTATACATTATGAGATAATATAGCACAATATACATTATGAGATAATATAGACCAAGGAAAATTAAGACCCTGAGAAGTATGCAAGAATAACTATGGTAACTACTTAAGGAGCTCTGGTAGCATAGTGATTACAAGTTGGGCTGCCGACCTCACGGTCAGCTGTTCGAAACTACCAGCGGTTGCACGGAGAAAGATGAGGCGTTCTGCTCCTGTAAAGCTTTACAGCCTCGGAAACCCTGTGCAGGGTCACTATGAATCAGAACCGACTCCATGGTACTTAACAACAACAACAACATGGTAATTACTTGGACTCCTGGTGTGGTGCTGCAGAATAATGTGTTAGACTGTAAGGTCAGTTTGAACCGCATGATCAGTAGTTCAAACCCACCAGGCACTCCTTGGAAACCCTATACAGGGTTGCTATGAGTCGGAACCAAGTTAACAGCACTTAATTGTGACAACATACCATATGTAATTTTGTAGTAACAGTAAAACAACCAAAAAATTTGTAAGTAATTACATGGGTAGATATATATGCTATATAGATGTGGGAGGGCATAAAGGGAAGGCATGCGAGTGTATGCATGGGTATGGATTTTTTTTTTTTTTAAGTGCTCTTGAGTTGATTCCTACTCATAGTGACCCGAGGAGTAACTGGTGGGTTTGAACTACTGAACTTGTGGTTAACAGGCCAGTGCTTATCCAACAGTGCATACCAGGTAAAATTGAGAGTGTTTGTGTATATATGCGTATGTATGTGTTGCTTGTACATTTATATATACTGTTTGTGAGTCTTTTCTGATTCATAGCAACCCTATGTAGTGTTTCCAAAGAGCAGCTGAGTTTAAACTGCCGACCTTGTGGTTAGCAGTCCAATACGAGCACATATAAGGGACACAGCTATGAAAACTAAGGCATAGCCGAACACCTCACAGAAGTGAAATACTTGACTTGAAAACTAAGGATCATAGTCTTAGGGAATATGTAAATCAGTTGTCTTAACATAACCTTAATGGTAATGTTGTTCATTCTAGTGTGGTTAGGAACATCTGATTCTTAAAATCTTGCAAGCAGCCATCTAAGATACAACTATTAGTCTCTTCCCATCTGGAGCAAAGGAGAGTGAGGGAAACCAAAGACTCAAGGAAGAAATAAATCCACAATACAAATGACTCACAGGCATCATACATAGCCTCTTCTAGCCTGAAACCAGAAGTAGTAGATGGTGCCTGACTACCTCTACTATTTGTTCCAGGGACACTATAAGGTCTGAATTAGAATGGGAAGGAAATGTGGAACAAAACTCAAACTCACAAAAAGGAACCAGACTTACTGGATAAGAACTAGAGGAACCCCCAAGACTGTCACTCTGAGAACCTTTTAAACATGTAATTAAAGCTACTCCTGGAAGTCACCTTTAAACTAAATAATAGCACTAGCAATGAGGAACAGTTGTGCTCCTGAGGGTAAACAACTGTATGAGAAAGCAAGGATGAGAATGCAAGGGGGCACAGAGAAACTGGAGGGATGGAAACAAGGAAGCCAGGGTGGAAATGAGAAGAGCGCTGACACATACAGGGACAGCAACCAGTGTTAAGAAACAATTTCTGTTTGAATTGTTGAAAGGGAAACTAATTTGCTGTGTAAAATTTCACCCAAAGCCCAATACCACAAAAAAAGAGAGACACAATAGCTAAATGCAATTTGTAATCCTGGGTCAGATCCTGATCAGAATGCATATGTAGGTTTTGTTGTTACCGTGCGGGACATTAGTAGGACAATTGCCAAAATCTGAATACAGTTACAGGATCTGTCAGTGTTAATTTCGTTTTTTTAAAAATTTGTACTGCAATTATGTAAGTGAATGTCTTTTTATTTGTTTGTTTTAGAAAATTAACCTTCAAATGTTTAGGAATAAAGGAATATTTGCAAGTTACAGTTATTTATATTCTAGTAATTTTAAAGAGTACTGGCACGTGCACAAACATGATAAAATACTAACCTTTGGGGAATCTGGGTATGTGTGACTTCTTCATACTATTATATAACTATTTTTTTAACTGGCACTTTTTTTTTTTTTTAATTGTGAATTGAGTGATAGTTTACATGGGAGAACATTGGTTTTACACTCATCGTTTCATTCAGTGATTGCAGTCGCCTCCGTGCATCATTACTCAACAGTATTTGCTTCTATTACCAGTTTTTTTGGGGGGTGGGGGATGTACACAAACACACTCTGGAATATATAATAATCTAAACAACCAAAGGGCAAATTCTGCAAGCCTGCCTTCTGGCTGCCAGCACCCAGTCTTTCTCTTTCTATGAGTCTGAAGTCCTCATCTGCTCCCTCCCTCCACGTCCTCATATCTGCC